GGACAAATAAACAAGCAATTAACCTTGTTTGCCTCAGTGTGTCAGAATCTGTGGGGTGTGCAGTGGAATCACATAAAAGGGAAATCTGACCTCAGCTTTGGGATTTAGAGAATCATTTGAAAGAGAAGTGGTATCTTAGTTGAGTTCTGAAGAATGAGTAGAAGTTAGCCAGGTAGAAAGAAGAATATCACAGACTGAAGGAGCAGCATGTGCAAAGAGCACGGAGTAGTAGGGGAACTGCGAAGTTGAACATGCCTAAAATATGGTGGACACGTGACCGGAGATAGGGCTGGGGAGGATTATGCTTGTCCTTTATAAGGCCTAGTGAGGAGTTTGGAATTTACCTTAAAGACATGGTGTGGAGAGTTCTTGTGTGTTTAGAGTTACCCATCCCTGTCCTTATTCACTAAAGTTTTAAAGTAGGGGAACAACATAATCAGAATTGTGCTTAGGCAGATGTATTGTGGAGGATGGATTGCAGAGGAAATTAAGACTGGAGGTACAGAGAAGTAAGTAGAAAATGATTTTAATAATCCAGATTAGATACATTAGTGGCCTAACTAGGTAGAGGTAGTAGGGATAGAGATTACTGGATGGATTTGAGAGAAATTCATGGATAGAATAGCAGGACATGTTGGAAATTAAGAAGTAGGAGCCCAGTATGGTGTTTAGGATTTCAAATTAGCAAGAGGATAGGTAGTAGTGCCATTTGCTGAAGTAGGGACAAGGGGAAATGAGCTGATTTGGGGGAGGTGATGTTTTCAGTTTCCAGCATATAGAATATGAGAAGTCTCTGGGATATTCAAGTGGAATATTTTGTAGGCAATTGAGAACAGAAGTCTGAAGGACACCAGTAATGTGGGGGTGTTACTAGTGAAGGTCCTGGGTCTTTGAACTGAATGCTAAAGGATGAATAGAAGCAGAGGGAAGAATTCCAAGTATAGAGAACAGAATTTTGTGAAAGGCATGTTAAGTTTGGAGACTTGCATGTAGATAGGGCTAAAGTGAACATAGGATAGTAGATTGGGGAAGAAAAGATGAGACTAAAAGGAAAACAGAACAAGTCACAAAGAGCCTTTCGTAGCATACAAATAGAATGGCTTTGATTGCTTAGACATTGAGGAACCAGAAGAGGATTTTTAAGACGGTTAGATTTTGTAAATGGTTTAAGATTTTTTTTTTTAAATCATTCAGGCCCAGCTGGTGTGGGTCAGTGGTTGAGCGTCAACCTATGAACCAGGAGGTCCTGGTTTGATTCCCAGTCAGGGCACATGCCCGGGTTGTGGACTCGATCCATAGGCTGCTGATCAGTGATTCTCTCTCATCATTGATGTTTCTATCTTTCCCTCTCCTTTCCTCTCTGAAATCAATAAGAAATATTAAAAAAAAATCACTTAGAGCAGACCAAACAGATCTGTTAACACATTTCTGAAATAGACATTCAATAAATATTTGTTCAGTCATGAGAATAATTTTTCTATAAAATCTATTTTCCATTTACCTAAGGCATACCTAAAATAAAATTACACATAAATAAAAAGGGATAGGCAAATAAGAGTGCCTTCCAAATCTGCAAAATTAAAATACAAGGCAAAAAAGCATGAAATTGGAAAAGGTGCTTGTTTATATTAATAAAAGAAATAATTTTCAATGAAAATTTTAAAATGAAGACTTAGCGTTTTAAAAAATACAGCAGAAATATCTTTTAAAAAGTGTTTGACAATTTGGAGACATTTCTCTTTGTATTTCTAACCAAATAGAAATACTTGGTTAGCAGTACTGTTAACTATTAATCAGACATTATCTTAGTTAATATCAAAACAATATTTTGATTAATACCAAAACAGTGTTTGGTTAATACTGTAACCAAAAATAAACTCCAGAGGATTTGTGAATGCTTCGAAGACAATTAGATAAAATACTTTTTTTTAATCCTCACCCGAGGTTATTTTTCCATTGATCATTTTAGAGAGGTTGGAAGAGAGAGGGAAAGACAGATAGAAACATTGATGTGAGAGAAACACATTGATTGGTTGCCTCCTGCACACACCCCCTACTGGGGCTGGCAAACCTGCAACCAAGATATGGGATATGGGGCCCTTGAACAGGAATCCCTGGCCAACGCTCTAACCACTGAGAAAACTGGCCAGGGCTTTTTCCCCTTTTTATTGAATTTATTGGGGTGACACTGGTTAACAAAATTATAGAGGTTTCAGGTCTGTACACTGTATTGTGTGTTCACCCCAAGTCAAATCTCCATCCATCACCACTTATCCCCCCTATATCCTAAACCTACAAAATGAATGCATATTTTATTACTAGAGCCCTGGTGCACGAATTTGTGCACAGGTAGGCTCCCTCGGGGTGGCCTGCAGAGATCGGGCTCCAGCTTGTGCCCCCAGCCTCACAGCCCTAGCCTGCGCCCGCAGCCCTGCAGCCCCACAGCCCTGCCTGGCGTCCCGCCTTGGCATGGCACCGCTCCTTCACCTGCTTCACCATCCTGCCAGTGGGGCCATTGATCGGGGTCGGGCCCCCCACCCAGCTCCCTCAGTGCCTCGGAGCCTGGCAGCG